GGGTATTGTTTTCCTGTTGGTGTTTGAATTTTGATGGCAATTACATCTGCTATAGTGCGCCATGGATTGCTGCAAGATAATTGATATGACCTTTTGTTGCTGGGAAGCCAAAATATGTTTGTGTTTCAATAAGTACTTGAAATCAATGTTTGTAGACATAGTAACTAAAATCTGTGATTATTTTCTCTTACAAACCTGAGTTACATATAATATTATAGTCTATATTATTTCTTGCGTTATGTTATGCTTCACATACCCATTAACCTTGTACTAAATGAAGCACAAATTCATCAACTTCACAAATGCTTATTCCTTACCCAACTCAGGTTTCCTCTGCCTATTTTTCTTGGATTGTTTTAACTTTCAAGGAATTCTAATATCGTTGATGGGTGATGCGCTGTATGCTACCTGTTAAGGCCTTCTGTGTGCTATTCTTAATTACCTATATGTATACTCCATAAGAATTGTTTTGTTTAGTATATTGCCTTAGTCTACTGCATCTTTCCAATTGACAATACTTTAATTTCCATACTTTTTTTTAAAAAATAGTTATATACTTTATAACTTCAACTTAGATAGTTGAGATTGCTGTTGGAGGTTTTTCTGTAAAGTTTGATTTACTCCGTAGTAACCTAATATTCTGATCCATCTCAGTAACTTGGTTTCTCTTCTATTTTATAATTCTATTTGTATTTTATTTGTTGAAATATTGTATTAGATAGCTGCGTATTCTTCTCGTTGGTTTCTATGGCAGCCATTTGATGTGATGTCTTCATGTCTAACACGCTAACATTTTAAAACTTGTTTCTTCTGTTAATTTGTCGTTAGGGTGGAGCTAATGCTGGCCATACCATCTACAACTCAGAAGGAAAAAAGTTTGCTCTTCATTTAGTTCCTTCTGGTATTCTTAATGAGGAAACTTTATGTGTTATTGGAAATGGAGTCGTGGTTCATCTGCCTGGACTTTTTGGTGAAATTGACGGTCTTGAGTCAAATGGAGTATCTTGCAATGGACGTATATTAGTTTCTGATCGTGCTCACTTGTTGTTTGACTTCCATCAAGAAGTGGATGGTCTTCGAGAAGCTGAGCTAGCTAAATCCTTCATTGGCACAACAAAGAGAGGCATTGGGCCTGCTTATTCAAGCAAGGTGATAAGGAATGGCATACGAGTTGGTGACCTTCGGCACATGGATACCTTTCCTCAAAAGCTTGAAATCTTACTGTTGGATGCAGCAGCCAGATTTAAAGATTTTAAATATGAGCCAGAAATGTTAAAGAAAGAAGTAGAAAAGTACAAAAGGTTTGCTGAGAGATTGGAGCCTTTCATTGCTGATACTGTTTTGGTCATGAATGAATCAATCTCACAGAAAAAGAAGGTTCTGGTTGAAGGTGGTCAGGCTACTATGTTGGACATTGACTTTGGAACCTATCCTTTCGTAACTTCCTCTAGCCCATCAGCTGGTGGGATTTGTACTGGTCTTGGTATTGCTCCCCGAGCCATTGGTGATCTTATTGGAGTAGTAAGTTATATTTGTCATTGTAGTTTTATTGGTTTGTTCTTTCATATTCTTTTATCCTTTGTAATTTTATATACATGCACAATTATATGCACACACATAGGAGAGAAACATGTCAACAAAATTTTTCATGGGTGAAAGCTATTTGGAGTGTGCTGCTGTAATCCTGTCCTCCTCTTATTCACCTTTCACTGCCAATTTTTTCCTTTCTTCCAACACGTCCTCTTTCATCCACTTTTCTCTTCACGGAAAACACCTTTTCTCCAGATTCTCTCTGGAACCTGCAGGGGGGTCCCCCCCCCCCCCCGCGCGGGCACACACACCCTCTTTTTCTGATGGTATTATATATAATACTGGAAGGGAGTAGGTATCTTTGCTAGTGGTGAATGTGGCGAGGAGCAAAAGAGGCGGAGTGGTGATCGGGGAGGGGGGTTGGTGGGGTTAGAAATGATTTCAAACTTAATCCAGCTAAGAAGCTGATGTATCATATGCCTTTGGGGATGCTACCCCAATTCCATCAAGGAGCTACCTAGACTGGAACTGGGGTGTATCTACCGTAAGCTAGCTTACAGAGCTACAAGATCCTTAGTTGGGTGTTTGGGAAGAGATTCAAGGTAATGGATTTCTCTTAGCGCCCACATACTTATTGATAGGCTCACAGATGCAGAGTATCCCAATCAGAAGCAAAGGTCTGCAAGAAGAGATAATAGGTAATGGAGGTGAAAAGAAAGATGGTTAGAGAAGGAGATTATAGGAAGAAGGGAAAGGGGGGTGAGGGTGGTGGAGGCTAAGGGGGTGGAGCGGGTGGGCAAGAAGTTTAGTAATTCTATACGGGAATTTTGTAATTACTGCTGAGGTTAACTTCGCTGATGTTGGGACATGTGCGGCATAAGATTGATTGATTTAGTTTGATTCATGTTGGCTTGTTTCAAAAAAAAAAAAGTTCAGGTAAGATAATACTCTGTATAAGATTTAGATATAATTAAATTCAGGTAAAATAGGATCCATTAAGCTCAGATAAGTTTAGTCAAAAGAAATTCCAGTAAATTAAGATAAGTGAGACCAAATTCATTCCAAAAAACTCTAATATGTTCAGAAAAAATAAAATTTAATAAGTTTAGACTAGTCAAATTCAGCTAAATAATATGCTCACTGAAAGAAACCCACTCACACACACACACACCTCTCTCCCAGGTCCCAACGCAGAGGTTTAATTTGTTAATGCTTGATTGCTTTCTTTTTACTTGCCCTGTTATTTCTTTTGTATCAGCAGTTTCAACCTGTTTATATACCTGTAGAGGTTTCTAATAACAGTTTTGATTTCAGGTAAAAGCATACACCACACGTGTTGGCTCTGGTCCCTTCCCTACAGAGATATTGGGTCAGGGTGGGGATCTGCTGAGGTTTGCTGGTCAGGAATTCGGGACAACAACTGGTCGTCCTCGTCGCTGTGGTTGGCTTGATTTGGTTGCATTAAAATTTAGTTGCGATATTAATGGCTTCTCTTCTCTGAACCTGACAAAACTGGATGTTCTATCTGATCTTCCCGAGATCCAATTGGGTGTTGCATACAAGGATGTTGATGATACTCCGATCAAATCTTTCCCTGGTGATCTCCGTATCCTTGAACGGTTGAAGGTGAGTTGATTTTCTTGAACAACTGTTAAATTGTAGAATTGTGCTTAGTTGAATAGTTGTCCTGCAGTATAACTATATTCCATGTAACTTGATAGTCCATAAACATTTATGGTTAAGATTTTGAGTTGAAAAAAATTTCATGTTTGGCAAGGGAGCAGCATCTTTTATAACACGGGTCACCTGAATACCACTTTCTCATTAGTCACTGCTTGTAGCTGTTGGATGACATTAAGGCTTACCAGATACCCCCATTTCAAACTCCCCTGTCTTGAATTTCATTTAGCACTACTAAACAAAAGTTTTGGAAAATGTATTTGTTACTCCGAATGTTTGTCCCTTCTACTTATGTTTGATCATATCATTTTTGTTGCATAGCTGATGGCATTTTAGGATATCAATATAATTCCTTACGTTGTATAATTTGCCATTTGTTCAGGTGGAATACGAGGTTCTACCCGGGTGGAAGACTGATATATCATCAGTTAGAAACTACGCGGACCTTCCATTGGCAGCCCGTCGCTATGTTGAGCGGATAGAAGAGATAGTTGGCGTGCCAGTCCATTACATCGGTGTAGGTCCAGGCCGGGATGCTCTCATTTACAAGTAGTGTGTTTAGAAAGATCGGATGTTCAACTGTCTTTTATCCTGTGGGAGGGGTAGGAGGAGGAGACAGTTTGACTCAGTTAGACCCTTTAACTTCTGAGAGATGGCTGCAAGCAATCAAATCCATTATTTGTTGACATGCATTTTATCTGCAGCATACTGTATACCCATAATCTGATACAAAACTGATGCTGCAGTGATTTTAGCTGCCAAATATTTTTGTAGTTTTCTCTCTAGGTGTTACGATTTCAAATATTCTGAGATATGTTTGTATGATCCAATGATCTTCCTTTCCATTTGTCTCTTTCCCGGTAACAGGGTAATGTACAACTGCAAAAGATGTTTGTCTAGCATCATTTCTTGGTTGTTTTTTGTTTTGTTTTGTTTTTTTTTTTTTCCTTCTTTATTTCTTTAGTAGGGCTTGTATGACATCGTTTTTTGTTTTCAATTTTCTATTTTTTTGAAACCAAAAATGAGAAATAAGATAAAGATGTTTTTCACTTTTCAGTTGGCCATTTTCAAATTTATCATGATTTTAATAAATTTGACTAATTTTTAATTTATTATATGACATATATCATATAATTTTGAAAACAAAAAACCACAAAACTGAAAACCACAATGATACCAAATGAACTCCGATTAATGCCATGTTTTTTTGGGAATGATTGACAATGAAACCTTAGTAAGAAATAATTAACAAGAAAAAACACTATTGTCTCATTATTGCACGAAGTTATCTCGCTAAAAATAATCATGAAATAAAATTGATCATCAATTGTATGACCTTTAAAAAGTGCGGATTTGCATATCACAAAAAATGAGTTCTTAGGCCTTGTTTGGCAAAACTAGCGGTAATGAGTAGTTTTTAGCGGTCGAGTAGCAGGTAGCTGTTAGAGTAGCTACCGTCAATTAGTAGTGAATAGAGGTTAACTGTCGAAGTAACGATTGATAGTATGAGTGTTTGGCAAAAGTAGCATTTGCAATACTAAATATTAATAATCATACAAATTATAAAAAAAAAAAAAACCAAAAAATAACAAATGCTACTTGCTACTCTTAAACGTTTGAGAAAAACTACTTAAACGCTACATCTACCGCTAATCGCTACTCACTATTTTTTTTCTAGTTGGTCAATACGCTAACCGCTACCTCAAACACTATCGCCAAATATGGCTAAACTGCAAACCTTCTCTGAAAAGGCCCAATCTAAAACCCGATAGGGAATGACTTTTTGGGATAAAACTCGATTTAATCAAAACCAACACCAATAAAGTGTTAAGTAGGTGCAATTATTGTACAAAATCATCATCTAATCAAGGGAGATGAAACTGAGCAGCTTGCCGGAGTTTAAAAAGTAAAAGTAGCATACCACCAGCCAGAGAACCAGGACTCAGTATAGACTACTTGTGGTGCACTGCAACTGATTCTCTCTGCTCCGAAATCCCAAAGATTGTAGTCATGAATGGAGGAAAAACCAAGAAATCTTCTCCCATTTCTCGTGAACAATTTGTATCCATTATGGCTCCTTTAATCGATATCGAAAAGGTCATTTCTTTCTCTTCCCCCGTTCATCATTCGATTGTTTTTTAATTTACTTTTGCTGTTTATTTAATGGAAAATTGTGGGTGGTCTCCATTTTTCAATTGAGTTTATTGGGAATTTCTCCATTTTTGAATTAATGTTGTTATTGGGAAATTGAGTATATCACCAAAAATAAAGTATCATTTTTTTTTGTTTATTTTTTTTGGTGAAGATTTTTTTTTTTGTTTATAAAATTGCTTGTGAATTCAATTTGTGGATTAATTTTGTTGTGAAAATGGAATACTTTTTGATGTTTGTAAAATGGGTTATGTGCATAATTTGTCTAGTATTCTAATTAAAATTGATCGTTGTTGGGCAATTGAATATTTAAAATTTTAAACAATTACATATTACATTGTTTCTTTTCGTGACTCTATTGATATTGCAAACTATGGCGAATGGTTTAAAATGCTTGTTGATTCATACTTTGTATTGCTTGATTGATTTCATTGTTTATGGAAAAAGTAATCAGTTGTGATAGTTAAAATTTGAATTTAAACTGTGTGATTAAAATGTGTTTTTGTTTAGGAGGCTGAGATATCTGCTTCTATCACATCTAGTTCGACCAGGAGCGTCGAAACTGCTCAAAAAAAGGGTTCTATTATTCTTAACCTGAAGTGTGTTGATGTTCAGGTAATACCTTTTTTTAACTTAAGTACAACTTTAAAGTGTCATACATTAGTTGCTTTGTTGTTTTATACTTGGTATTTCTCAAGTTTATTGCAAATGGGTGTTTGAAAGGGGAGGGAGGATATTTCTTTGTAATGAGAATTTGTTAAGGGCATTCAGCAGCTAATATAATGGATGTGAATTGAATGAATTCCCTTGTACCATTGAAAAGAGCCTGAAGTATATTTTAAGATAGAATTCATTAAACATTCATAGAGTTATGTCTTAATGATTAATTAATCAATCATTCATTCATAAAAGTTTGAGATAACTACTATTAAAAATTTGTAGTAAAATAATTACTATAGTGTTATAATAGGTTTGAATGTTATGTGTAAATTTTTTAATTCGAGGATAAGAGTTATTAATTAGCAATCTTTCAATTCTAGTTATGATAGGACTAATTTAAATGTTTTTTATTCGTATGGTTGTGGAGTAGGTCAGTCAAAATGTATTTGCAATGAAGTGTCTAATGGAGACTATCACTTTAAGGTTTAAGCTAGGCTATATACATCTAATCCTCTCATACCTGTTCATTTGTAAAAGATGATTAAAAGTGCTGAAGAGATTGATTAATATATTTTCTGATGCACTTCTCCAAAATTGCAACAATCATGCCTGTCTTTTGAAAACTAAATGAAACAGTGATTTTTTTAATTTTCCTTGATATATTTTTTATTATAATTTTTTTGCATTCTGATAGATTTTTGTTGCCAACTTGGTGCTTCTTCATCCATGACAGTCAGGATTGATGGGAAAGAGTCTTCTTGAATTTCAGTCCACAAAAGGAGAAGTTCTTCCCCCTCACAAGGTGAGTGTTATACCTTCTGTTGGTTTATGTAAGACAAGTGCTTGAGTATTACATGTTTGTGGCATATTGAGATCCTATGAGAATAGACTATTATACTTATTCTGCATCTGGCATTTATAATCATGTATTGACTCCCTCTTGCCGAAACTGTTCTTGTTAAAATACTATCTATATAAAGTTGTAAGTAGCAATATACTTGGTTTTTCACAAAAGAAGGATGATGAGGTAACTCTCAAGAACAATGGGTATCATATGATGTGAGCATGTTAGAAAGATACACCTTCCCCCCCCCCCCCCCCCCCAAAAAAAAAAATAAAAAATAAAAAAAAAAAAGAAAAGAAAGAAGACTGAAAGTAGAATCGTTCAGTCTCACTTATTCTACTCTTGCTATCTCCTTGCTTCCCAACTACTTTACTTTTGTACCATTCTTAGTTTGTTTCCACGTCATTCTGAGCCTATAATACTATTTTTTTTTTCTTTTATGATGCAGTTTGGGCCTCATGATGTTGTGGTTTTAAAGCTGAACAAGGCTGATGCCAGTTCTCCTTCCCTAGGACAGGGGGTAGTTTATCGTTTGAAGGTATTTGTCTTGTAAAGATGTTGTCCATAAACTATCTATATTTGTCTTTAGTCAGTCTGAGAATCACATTGTACAGATCTGAAGTCAAACCTGCTTATTTTAATGACTAGGAATCATCTATCACTGTTGCATTTGATGATATTCCAGAGGATGGCCTGAATACTTCATTGCGGCTTGAGAAAGTGGCAAATGAGGTAGGTTTTCTTATAAGAATTGGTGTGTACATTCCTATTTATGGTTTGCATGCGTCTTGATCACAAATTTGACCCTTTAGGTTAGCCTCTTTATTGCTCTATGTTTGACTCAAAGAGAACATGCATCAAGAGCTCTGTAGCATACTATGTGTTATGTCCTCTACCCATTAATTTTGTGATTCATAGCACTAATTGCCAAGTGCATGAGTCCAGAGGGTAGATGTGAGAGTTTCTGTCTTTTATTGTTCCAACATTTCTGGGGGATGCATGTCGTTATAACATTAATCATAAATTCTTGGCTTCTTCTCCAACGTTCTTAACATTTAAATGTTTTCAATTTCAGCATTTCTAGCTTATTCAAGGAATGTTGTCTATCATGCTCTGTTGCTCTTTTTTTGTTGGAATGCACTTGTGACCTTTAAGTTCACTGTTTAATGTTATTAGTTTCTGCCTTCTCGTATTGGATAAATGGGATTTACCGCATCCTGTCCCACACCTCTGTTTTTCTGTAGTACTATCTGAATGCAATATGCCAATATCCCATCTTTTACTCATATCTCTACTTTTTATTTTATGGGAGTTGGCTAATTATAATTTATTTTATATTATTAGAAAATATATTCAGGTAAGAAGTTGCTTCTTGGTATGGAGGCCTTGAATAGATGTCTTGGGTATTTGAATACATTCACGTGGTTTCAAATAAGGTAGTTTTTACAGTAAAACAATGGACTTTCTCTCAAGTTCCTATAGTAAATGATATTAGTGTGTATTAAGAAATTAGATAATTTGATTTGTATTGAATTGGTTGCATTATGTCTTCTATCTAAAGTTGAATTGTTAGTTTATTTGGCCTAGTGGGTGATGGAGTGACACGTTATGCAATTTTTGCTAGGTGACATATCGTAGGATGAAGGATACCCTGGTAGAGCTGAGTAAAGGTGTGCAGAAAGGTCCTTCTTCTGACCTAGTTCCTGTACTGTTTGGAGAGAACCCCCCTGCTAGGTCAAAGAAGGATTTTGATTTCTCTCCATTCAACAAGAATCTTGATCATTCTCAGGTAATTATTACCATACTTTTTTCGTTCATTTGGCGGCAGTCTTTACTTGAGAGTAGTGTCTGCTCCAGTATACTGCTTTGCTTTTCTTAATTCCATCAGCATGCTTAGTCTTGTTGCAATGCTTCCTAAATGATACTAGTTTCTTTATAGATGCTTTAATGATTCTTTATTCCTTCTTCACCCCCCCCCCCAAGTTGCTTCTGTGGATGCAAATTTTTTTCACATGAATTTATCTCGGTTAAACCTCATTTAACCTAAAATCTTAATATGCTGGTTGACATGTGGTTATTCCTTAATCTAATTGATAACATAAAACCGATCCTAAAACCACTTAATATCTTGAAATTATCGGGAAGGATATTAAATAAAAAAAATTAATATTTTGTTCCTAAGGAACCATATTCTTTTCGACCTTCATAAACATGGCTCTCCCCCTTTTGTTCTTTCCTTCCCCACCTATTCCACCTAATGTTTAAATGATTATATGCATGCTTTCTGCTCCTTTTTAAAATTGGGATTGTATCTCCTCATCTAACTTGCATTGGAATTTGGTAACCGTAAAGCGTTATTTGTACTTTGCTCCCCTGATGTGATATAAGGATTCAGAAGGTTCTTGTTAGATCTGTATACTTAAACGTACTGCTTTCAGTTCATGCATTTTCCCGCCTTTCATAGACTTGAATATTAATATCAACTTTGGAAGAAAACCATAGAAACTAAGAACTAGATGATTGTTGGGGTTGGGGGGGGGGGGTGGGGTGGGGTGGGGTGGGTTTACATATTCATGTTGCTATCTATACCAATTTTTTATTGATTTAATTAATTCTAACTGAACTGGAACTGGCTATCTTTTTCTGTGAAGAAAGCTGCAATTTCTAAAGCCATGTCATCCAACAATGTATTTTTGCTGCATGGACCTCCTGGTACTGGGAAGACCACAACCGTCGTAGAAATTATCTTACAGGAAGTAAAACGTGGATCAAAAATACTTGCATGTGCTGCATCAAATATTGCTGTGGACAATATAGTCGAACGTCTTGTTCCTCACAGGTAATTTCAAATCTAGCAAGGTGATTCCATTGGAAATGCATTGATGCTTAGGTATATGACATGATGGAAAGGGTAGACTAGATGAGTAGCAAAGTGTGAAAAGATTTTTGTAGGTGATAATGTGATCAAGTCTGATTATATTATTTCTGCTTTCTTGAACAAGGAGTTAATTTAGCATTCTTCATAAAATTACAGATCATAGTCTTCAGGTTTTCTTTGGATTTGTGTTTTATCTTTCTGCTGTACATCATATTGTTATATCCATTGATTTAATTTCTTTAGGGTCAAGCTTGTGAGAGTGGGTCATCCAGCACGTTTGCTGCCTCAAGTATTAGATAGTGCCTTGGATGCACAGGTAGGTCATGATGTGCTACTACCCCCTGATCATATTTTTTTTCCACGTTTTCCGTTTTAAAAAATGGAGTTGTTCTGAAGAACTTTTCACTTTTTCTATCATGTTTTGCAATAAGATGGATGGATACCTATGAATTTTCCTATTGATGAAAATTAATGAAGAATGTTAGGCTAGAGATCTCATTCTAGCACCATTCCATAGTGATGGAAAATGGCTTGCACTTGCCTTCCTGCATTTCTAGCACCTTTTCCTTCCTAATATCAATTAAATTCTAGATCTTGGAGTCCCTCCTTGTTCTATAGATAGTAAATAAACGTCAATCAGATTTTTGTGCTGAATCGAGTTCAAAATATACTCCCTCCATCTGTTAAAATTATGAAATTATGACATTGTATGAAATCCTCAAAAGTAAGGAGTTGACATAATACTAACGCTCTCACACTTTCCCCATCAACCAATCATATAGGGCATCTAGGAAAATCCAATCAAAAACCAAGATTCCATCGTGTCCCTATTTACTCGACACTCTTCTATAAATGACATACAAATATCTCTTCACTTAGGATCCACTGCTCACTAACTAGTGTATAAATTATCCTACTACCTTCTAACGTAAATAAAAAAACCAACTACTATCTATCACACAATAAAATAAGAAATCTACTAACTTGCATCAAATCTTGTGCTGGTCAAAGTGTGTAAAGTAAATAGGGATGGAGGGGGTACTATTTTATGAATGGTAATAACTTTTATTGGGCATAAGAAATTGGCTCTCTTACCAATTTTTTATGTATCTACTTTTTATTTTAAGGTGTAGTTTCTTATGTGCCCACTTTCGACTTAATTCTATTTTCGGGTGAACACTTTTTACATTCATATACATTTATACCCTTTTGCCCCATAAAATTTTCACCTTTTGACTCACTCTCAATCTAATATTATCCACATTTTCGTATACGTATTAATCTATTTATTTTATCTCTCTTACTTTATCTATTTCTTTTCTTACATCCACTCGTAGTAGTAAATGACTACATTCATAAAAAATAAGGTAAATAGAAAAAAAAAATTAGGAGGGAGTAATTGTGATCATTTACTACTTATTCTCCATTAAAAATATTGTTTACTTTATAATTTAACTCACATTGATATCTTTCTTTCTTTTGGTTGGAAACATCCACATTGTGACAATATTAGTATGCAATTGTAGCAACTAAGGCACTTTTGATTCCCTTCCCCCACCTTTGTCCTCAGAGGTTATTTGCATATATGTAGGTGCTAAGGGGCGACAACAATTCTCTAGCAAAAGACATTCGCAAAGAAATAAAGGTAAGCATTGGAAAATTGTTAGGATCTCGTTGAAATTCCAGTAACATATTTCAAATGTTAATACTCTTTATTTATATGCGCTTGTCAACATCTTTTCTAGTTAATGGATCAGATGTAAATTTCAGGCACTAAATACAAAGCTGCTGAAGGCTAAAGACAAAAATACCAAGAGGGAAATTATGAAAGAGCTACGTACTCTTTCTAAGGAAGAGCGCAAACGACAACAGCTAGCAGTGACTGATGTTTTGAAAAATGCAGATGTCATATTGACAACTTTAACTGGAGCATTGTCTAAAAAATTGGACAGATCTACTTTTGACCTGGTGATTATTGATGAAGCTGCGCAAGCACTTGAAGTTGCTTGCTGGATTGCTCTTTTGAAGGTAACTCTTGAAGGCAGTGATACTGTTCATATGAGCTTTCGATATATGGTTTAGAATCCCTTGCTGCCGGTACATGTTTTTGCTTCTTGAAACAAGAACACCTTTCGTGCCCTACTTGAACATCAAAAAGGAGGTTTGACGAAAAAAAAAAGTCTCCTGTTGTACTATGTAATCTTTGTCTTTCCGCTTGCCAAAATAAATCAAGGGTATCATGATATAACATGCTACTTTTGCTCGAGTCTTAACAGTGAGCACTTCTGCAGAAATGACAACAGATTGAGGGATTTGGTGCCTTCGGTTTGCTGGCTATTATACTTTTTTCCCAAAATAAAGTTTCCATCACAATTTGAAATGATATTAAAGATTTATATGTGACCGGTACACAATTTCTTTTGCACCCTTGCCCATGTCAAAATTTCTCTTTCCAAATCAGTGAATCACCTCATTGAAGGTGCACACTTCGTAATTTTTTATAAAGCTCTCGATGTTTTTTGGACATCCCAAAATAGTAGTCAAAAACTTTAATTAGGACGGAGGTGGAAAAATGATTGTCAAAACTTGAATTTAACAGATTTAGCCCTGGAAACAATTTACTGAATATTGATGCTGTCTTTTTCCTTGTTAGACATCAAAGGAGGGGAAAAAAAAAATCTAATGTCAAAAGTGTTTAGTGCCTGGAAAATGTATCAATTTTCACACTTTATATATTTCTTTCTTTTTTTATTCAATGCTTTGAAGGGGCAGAGTTTTTAGCTGAGAAACTCTTGAAGTCCTTTAATTATTCCAATTCAGGGTTCAAGATGTATTCTTGCCGGAGATCATCTTCAGCTTCCACCCACTATCCAGAGTGTTGAAGCTGAAAAGAAAGGCCTAGGAAGAACCTTATTTGAACGTCTTGCAGACTTGTATGGGGATGATATTATGTCAATGCTCACTGTTCAATATCGCATGCACAAACTTATTATGGATTGGTCATCTAAAGAGCTGTACGACAGTAAGGTGCTTATGTACTCTACACAAGATTGTTTAGCAAATAATTTAAACTACAGCCACACGGTAGAAAACAATAATAAGATTTGCTTGATGTTTGATATTGATTGTTGCAGATAGAAGCTCACTCATGTGTTGCTGCACATATGCTTTATGATTTGGAAGGTGTGAAGAAAACCACTGCAACTGAAGCCACTATTCTGCTTATTGACACAGCAGGGTATAAATTTTGTTTGCATTTGCACAGAACTTTCCCTTGTGCAATAGTTATGTGACATTTGTCAAATAGTGATGTATAGAGTAGTGGTTAGTTATGCATATTTGACGAGAACTAAAAGATACAGGAATAATTACATTCTAGTACTCCACTAAAAGGTCTATATAATCTTCGTAGTCACTCTTTTCGGATATTCCTGCACCTATCATTGTGTTGTTGTACAACAATTTATATCTTGAATGAAACAACTGGAGTTTTGTCTTGCTAGTTTGTTTCAGTTTCTTCATGTAATTTGTCTTATACTTTTCAGTTGTGACATGGAAGAAAAAAAAGATGAAGAAGACAGTACCCTAAATGATGGTGAAGCTGAGGTTGCAATAGCTCATGCCAAAAGACTCATTGATAGTGGGGTCCAGGCTTCTAATATTGGAATAATTACACCTTACAATGCACAGGTATGACAATAAGTAGCTTCTTAATGCATAATAATCTCATGAAGTTACTAGTACTCCTAGAACACAATTATGATACTCTTATGATAGGTTGTGGCATTGAGGATGTTAAAAAGTAACGACATTAAGTTAAAGGATATGGAAATATCAACAGTTGATGGTTTCCAAGGCCGGGAGAAAGAAGCTATAATTATTTCAATGGTTAGATCAAACTCAAAGAAAGAGGTGTGTGATGTTTAATACTCATTTTTGGCAATTACTATAATGTTTTATTACCAAAAGGAATAAGAACATTGGGTGCAAGAATTTTGTATATTTTCTTCAAATGGGTTAAAGCGACTTTACTGCATGATAATTGTACAGGTGGGATTTCTGTGTGACCGTAGAAGAATGAATGTGGCAGTGACTCGTGCAAGGAGGCTATGTTGTGTGATTTGTGACACTGAAACTGTGAGTAGTGACCAATTTTTGAAGCGTTTGATCGAATATTTTGAGGAGCATGGTGAGTATCTGAGTGCTTCAGAGTATGGAAATGAGTAAAACCAATAGGAAACTTAAATTTTTTTACTGCTTGGGCATTATGGGTTATGCTCCTTGAAAGGATAATTGGGGACAGGAATAGCATTGATACAACAGTGAAGATCGTAGAGAATAACAGGTGCATTTCAAAAGCCTGTAGGATCTGTTTAGCCTTTCTACTGCTGTAAAAAGGGAAAACACAGATATAATGGTCTAGACTTTAGAGTTTAGGGGGAGCAGAAAGTTACCTTCAAAACAGTTCTATACCCTTCATCAACACATGTTAGCAGCTCGGTTTCTGTAACCTTTGAATTTGAGCTTTCATGTTACAAATTGAATTTGAAATAGACTTCATATCTGGAAATTGCATCAGTTTCTGTGTTCTGTCATTTGAATCTTAAAAGGTATCACAACTTTGTCCATTCTTAGATTTTGCAGATCTTAGTCAATGATTTACATTTGGCAACGCACAAAGGCGGTACTTTGTTAGTTGGTTTTCCTGCCAAAACCCATCTTACTAACGTCTTTTATTCCCGAAAAAGACAAATTAGTCATAACTATATCTCATACAAATCTTCTAGGCATTAAATCAGGTTACATGTATCTAAATAGTCTCTAATGACTGACATTAACTAGATTTGGGAAATCAAATGAAGCTCTTCAAAAGTCCCACATACCAGGTGGGAAAGTTATTAGCTCTTGCTGCATATTACAGTCTCCATAGCTACTTGATTCAGGTTGTTGATAATCTTCCCCTCTCAAGATTTCAACTAATTCGTCCCACTCGGAATTCATCTCCTCCATGTTATTCTCATTCAATTCATCATTCTCGCCATTGTTTGCATCAACTTTGTCATCGTAAGCTGCTTTTCCTTCCTTTAAAACTCCCATCTGCTCCAAAAACTCGTGCAAATCAATCTGAGGCTTCTCCCAGTTCTGTTTGTCATTATCAATTTCAACTTCTTTTTTATCCCTCTTCACATTCTTGGGTTCAGACTTATTCTTATGATCACTCAAAGACGGCCTGAAATTCTTGAACTCTTGGAGTCTCTGGTGAATAACATGAACACTCGGTTGCACATTTATATTGAGCAACGATGGTGTTGTCCCACTCGAAGCAGGGAACATGGATATGAAATTCTTGGAAGGAAACCATCGAAACCTTTGCGATTTGTTCAAAGGGTTAAAGCTACAACGCAGATGCGGAAGATTAAGATAAGCATCCGGCCCATAAAGCCGCCTTGCAGCTTCATCATAAGCCAAGGCAGCTTCTTCAGCAGTAGCAAACGAACCCAACCAAAGCCGAGTTCTCTTCTTAGGCTCTCTGATCTCAGCTACCCATTTCCCCCATGTTCTCTGCCTTACTCCTCGGTACGTGCATGTCGCATTTTGAGGCCCTCCTTGGCCTCGAGCAGGGCCTTTCTTCCATGGTTTTGATAGTGATGATTTCTTCAAGTTATCCATTCTTGGATTCTTAGTGAAGTGAAGTGAAGTGGAATGTTTGGTGTGAATGTTGAGCGTAAAAAGGCGCGGGTATAAGTAGAGATTGAAAAAGGTTGGAAATTTAAATGCATTCACGTTTAGAGAATTCGAGTTCAAAGCCCATGTGACCGTTACATATCTTTGATCGTGTTGTAGATATCCATTTTATACTTTTTCCACGGGGTAAAAGATTTCGCCAAAATAGTACGGAGTAGGTGATTAGTTTTTTCAAAGTGATATACTTTGAATTCGTATTCTCTCTCTGTGTCTAAATAATTGATGTGTTTGACCTTTTTTTTTTTAATTTGGCTTTATATGCTAATTTTGACCATTAATTTTAATAACAACATGAAATATATTATTAAATAGGTATTAAATACTACATCATTAATTTCCTTCAAAAAAAAATACTACATCATTAATTATTATATACTACTTTAAAATATTATTTGTAAGATATAAAAAATTCAAAGTTGCACATAACAATTAACGGAGGTAGTATAAAGTTTTGTAATATCAACCTTTTTATTTTATTTACTAATATTTCGTCAAAAAAAAAAAGAAGTTGTCGTTCTTTTTCGGTGTACTCGTTTTGTATCTTCGACACACAAGGAAAGACGCGGTGGGGAAGAAAGTAGCCCTAGCCTTTGTCTGGCCGATCATTCCGCTTGCATCATTTAATCATATTTATCTAAAGTCAAACCAATGCATTGTCATGTGTGTCAATAATTTAGGAACAGGATGAGTATTAGACTATACTTCATAGAATATATAAAAACACTAACCTTTATCATACACGTGATGCGTGAATGAATTTTAAATTGCATAAAATGATATAAGCCAACATTGGCAATTTAGTTAGTATTATAAAGGATTTTTTTGACTTATAACACTACAAAATAGTAAAAAAAAAAAAAAAAAAAAAAAAAAAAAAAAAAAAAAAAAAATTGACTATAACACCACAAAATCTAAAACTTTTATTATAATACCAAAAAAAAAAAAAAAAAAAAAAAAAGAAGAAATTGGATTTCACCACCAACTACATACTCAGTTTTACAAAAAATTAAAAAATAGAAGAAAAAAAGAATAAACCCTAAACCATAACCCAACCCCACCACCACTGGCAACACTAACCCCCACCACCACTGGCAACACTAACCCCCACCACCGGTAGCCCAACTCCAGCCGCCAACACCCACTGCCCTACCTTTACCGTCGAAATCAGCCCAACCACCACCTCCAAAACCAGAGACTCCACCCCTTCCCCAAACGATTATAGATATGATCACCCGGCCATTTTTTTTTTTCTTTTGAAATACCTTTATGAGATTCCATCAAATTTTAAGGAAAGGATTAAATTGACTTATTGCAAATTGATCAATGAACACCACACCACCTCCGAGCTTCCCTTGGCTTAAGTTAAAATAATAAATAAATAAACAACAACAATAGTAATAATAATAATAATAAAATAATCGATGTGATATTTCAACTTTTCTTAATCGCCATATTTTAATCACTCAAATATTAAATCAAAGCTTTAATTTAAAGGTTGTAACTTAGAAAAACATTGAAACGTGTCCTTCAATATTGGACAAAATAATATTTTGTAAAAATAAAATAAAAAACTATAGGGTCAAAGTTAATCTTAATTATTCAAGAGTTAAAATATTGTGATTACTAAAAAGTAAGAATATAACTTCATGTTGCTTGTCAAAAAGAATATAACTTTATGTTATCATAATTACAGTTTAGTTAAAAACCTTTTATAAATAAATATATATTGGAGTTTTAGTTCAAATATATATTCAAAGTTAATACTTTGTATATAAATTGTACAAAAATAAAAATAAAAAATTATAGATTTGCAAGTTCGCAACTGATAAAAAGAAAAGAAAGAATGCAGTACATATTCTAACTATTCTGAGAGTGAGGGATAACTCAAGTGGTTAAAACTCCCCCCGTTTTCAAGAGATGTTGAGATTGATTCTCATTACTCGTCCTTATGACTCTCTAAACAACAAAAAAAAAAAATCAAGTTTTTCTTTATTTTTCTTAATTTGATTTCCCTACCACCAATACATTAATTTATTGTCTTAATTAATTTATATTTTGATAATCCCTAGATTTGAATTTAATTGATTTAAGTGGCAAAGGGGTGGCTTAAATTAAATTGCGTGTATTTAAGTCGATTCACATTTAGGATTTTCATCATTTGGCTTATTATGTGAGTAAAAACTTAACATCAATCACATAATTTAACTCAAATTCAAATATATTTCTACTTAGACTCTAAATGAGTAGTTGTATTTTAGTCAACTACCACAGGCTACAATTGAAATCGTGATAAAATAATTCTTTTTCATAAGTTGTTAACTACTCCCTTTGTTTCAAAATAAATATCCCCTATTAAATTGGGCACATGAGCCAATGAAGAACTTTGACCAAAAATATTATTAACTATTAATAAGTATAAATTATAATAAGTTGATATCTAGAAACTATTTATTGAGACGATTCCAATAAGTACTCACATAATTATATTTTTCATATATAAATCACTAATATTGATCAAATTGAATTATGTAAATAATACAAAAACATCAAATGAAACATTTATTTAGAAATGGAGTGAGTAGCATACTAAACTTCATGGATAACCCTAATTGAATTAGGATCCAACTAAATTCCACATAAATACACAACTCCCAAATTATCCCAATATATTTTATCCTACCAATAAAAAAAGAACAAAATCACAAAATTACAAAAGTAAAAAAGCATTCCTAGGATTCTCATATGTGCTACAGTTCAAATTTACTAGTCAAATACTGAGTACATAACCAACATTGTAAACTATCACGAGTTGAAATTCACATGTTTTCCTACTATTTTGCCCCCTGATTCTCGGGTCCCTCTTAGCTACTCACCTTTATTCTATGTCCTCTCTACTTCTCTAGTCTCTATCTCTATTGTTATGGTTAAAATATCAAAATTTACTGAGTCAAATAATAGTGTAAATTAATGCACAAGTGGCATAGAATTTGCCAAGGACTGGAATCACAGGGCTCCTGCTGCAAATCCACCGCCTTCTACACCCATTTATTACCCAAGTTTATGGGAGCCTCCCTTTGTCCTTTCTTCACTCTCTTAGTCTCTTAATAGTCTTAAACCATTTAATTTTGATTTCTTTGGCTATATATAAACACTCTTGGAGGAGTTGGATCCTAGACTTAACCGAGAATTTACGCACGTAGTCTACAGTTGACAAGTTTTATACTTTCTCTGTTATTTTTTTAATTATTTTATTGTAATTATTAATACAATAAGATGATCAAACTTTGACTACATTTGTTAATACAGAGTATTGTATATACAACTAATACAAGTATTAATACGTATGTAAAGAAAAAACAATATCACATGCGATCTTATTATATTCATTTCTATATAATTGTATATTTTGAAGACCAAGGCCCTCATCTTATTCAAAATGATATTCAATAAATAAGTCAAATTCAGCAAAACTAATTTTAATTCAATAAAAAAAATTGTTTTAAATAGTAAAATTAAGTAACTAGAAAGAATAAATATAATAAAGAATCAATAAGAATAAATTTTAATTTATAAAATTATATAAACTTTAAAAATAAGGTGAAGAGCATAGGGCACAAATTTACTCCCATCCAACTCTCCAAGTACTATGGACTTATGGAGTAGTACAATAGCAACAGCTTATCCGTGCATCCATAACATGTTGAAGATAATCACATAAACCAATTGCAGCTTCTGATAAATGAATGACACACGCTTAAGAATAAGAAAAAAGACAGCTTCATTACTTACAAATTACAACTCCATAATGCGGAGAATAGCTGCACTAATCCAACTAAAGGTCCTGGTTAATATACAAAAGAGACCCCGTCTGCACAGGAAGATCTTGGTTATCTACGTCCTGCTACAAAAGAAACTATACACCAAGAAAAGCCCTAAAGCATTGCTACAGAAGGAGCTACCTACAAAAGCGGATCAAAGAAGATAAAACCTCATTTTACTTTAGGACTTGTCCCACGCGTGATATTTCTCCATTTATCCTTCAGGTCTACAGCTGTTCGACCCTTTCGGAACACAGAATCTCCATATTCCAAAATATTTTTCCATGGAATGGTTCGACCATTCCCTTGATCATATATTGCTACCCCTTTCTGCAAAGAGAGCAATGATAATTAAGGTGTGGAAATATGAAGTTTTTTCAACAATAATTCAACTAAGTGATTTAATGCTTCCAACAAAATTTGGAGACTCAACTGATCTTATACGAAGTATTATAAGTTTATAACAATAAAAAACAATTGCTAAGCTTAGTTAATTTTTCTTATATTACTTCTTCCAGAAGATGGCTAATGTTTTCCTTTGCAAAATCCTAGATATGAAAAGGTTGGAAAAACAAAAGGTGGAGCCAAAACATGAAGTGTGGAAGTATTACATCAAACCTTCGCGGAGCTACATTGGTGCACACGGTGCACGTGCATAGGTGCATCACCAGCCCAAAAAAAAAAAGAATCTATCAAAGAGACCGGTTATTATATTAGATGCTAGCCTGCTTTCTTTTGTAATTAAAAAAGACCAATTGTTGAAACAACCGGTCTCTAAGGTCATATTTTCTTGCTATTGTTAAGAGTAATGGGTCAAAAAGGCCGGTTATATTAAACAACTAGTCTATAAGGTCATTTGACCTTTTTTTTTTTTTTTTTTTTTTGGCTACTATTAAAAGTAATGGGTGGGTACTATCTATTCGCTACATGTTATTTATAGTAACTTCGGCTTGTAAGATGGATTTTTTAAGTACTATTTGGTTGTAGTATGAATTTTTGTGTCCTATTTTTGGATTGAAATCAATTCGGTTGTAATATAATTTTTGGATTGAAAACAATTCTGAACTAGACCTCAAATTTTTTATTTGTACTTTCATATGTGATCAATAATTAATGGTGAACCACCATCTCAGAAATCCTAGATCCGCTACTGCATGAAACAGAGATGCATAGAATCACATGCTTCAAAAAAACATCATGAAACAAATAACATTAGGAAGGTTTGCTGATGAAAATCTCAAGGCAATAGGTACCTTTAACGTTTCTTCCTCCTCTGCTGTCCAACGAACCTTTTTACGTCTACCTACTGGAGATCCCGGAATTGCCCTGCAAATTAAACATAAGTTCAGTCAGTTTTAAGCCAACCAGAGACAACTGCAAATTCATATCATACCTACATCTAAAGACACAGCAATAGTTGAAAGCTGCTTAAAAAAACAGTAGTGCTGCAAGTTACAAACAACACAAAACCAATACCAAACAAAACAAAATCACAAGCAACAAGATCAACATTGCGGCAAAAGAATGCAAGAAACTAAATAGGTCATTCTTGCCACATCCCACACTTAACAGCTACAAGTTCCTCGGCAACACTACTAACTGTCCACTACCCAATGTGAAAGGAGGATTCCATCGTCAGTAGGATCCAGGGAGGCCAGCATATATGCAACCCTACCAATAAGGCAAAAATCCATCAAGACTACTGTAAAGAATGAAACAAGCAGCCAGCAACACAGTACAGAACGTTTTAGAATCCATTACTCATAAAGGACAAAATATACTAAGTATAATATACAAGACCCAATCATATGCTATAGTGCAAGGGGCATCCAATAATATGCTGCACAATTAAGTATACCAACATTGGATTACTTACAAAATTCAAAAAAGATTAATAATAAAAACAAGACTGACATTCCAATCAGAGCTACTATGAAAAGACACGTTCCAGATGAACTCCTTAGCTCCCAATTAAAAAAAAAAAAGCATAAATTGAGAGAATTCACAATTCAGACAGCATAACCACTCATAACAAGTTAGGAATAATTGAAACAGTCAACAAGTGTAACACATGTAATTGAGTTTAAATCCACCAAATAAAAGCATGGAACAAACAAAAAAACAGCTTAGTATTAACACAATAGCCAAACCTAACACATACTAAAGGACTTGAGAATTATTAGCAACTGCAACAGACAGAACTCTGTCGTTGCTTCTCACCTTAACGGTCTAGGGCATGCCAAGGAACAGGTACCATCATTCCTCTTATCTTGTAGTGGTCCATCTGAATCACTAATTGATTCAGAGGAAGCATCTTCATGAAATTCAGTAATTTTACACCTAGTGAGTTTTCCTCGAGTTTTTAGCTCATTATTATCACCAGACAACTTGACAACATCACAATGATGATCATCCTGTTCCTTATTCCAGATTTGAGATGGGTCTCTTGAAAGTTGGATAATTATTTCAGCACCTTGTCTGTCTTGAAAAGAAATATGCTGTTGTGTAGCCATTACAAATCCATTAACATTCATGTAGGCAGATGAGTGTGTTAGCTCTAATTGTTTACCTTTCCAACTTGTCTGATGAGACTTAGCAGCTTGATTTACAAAAGTAGCACCTTTCTTCACTTCAGCTGTCTTATCAACATTCTTATGTTTGCCCAGGTTAACATCATTCCCTGATGATGAATCACCATCACGTTCTGGAAGATCCCTAGTCCTCCCTCCAATAAATAGGGAGAGCTCTTTCCTTGCTAAAGAAACTCTTTCTTTGGCTCTAACATACTCAGACATTGCACGGGAATATGCACAAAAAGGACAGTAAAAGTTTCCTAGATCATCAAAGCTAGCTGAGCAACCCAAGCAGCTCTCATGAAACAATAAGGGGCAGCTACTAGCACTGCAAGATAACAATTGGCCATCTTTATTGCATTTCATACAAAGATTTGTCTGTGCCTCTGTCAATTCAAGGGAGTCTCCAGTTAATACACATTGTGAACTCGGGAAGTTATGGTTTTTCATGGCAAGATCAACCTCTTTGCGGAAGTGGTCACCATTATTAGGTGAAATTTTTTGCTGATCATGATTTTCCACAGACGTTTTAGGCTGCTCATCATCTATCCCATAAGATTTCCCATCATGTGGTGCATTAACTTTTATGACTTCATGATATTGTTCAGCTTCTGCATTACCATCATTAGGTGAAATTTGTTGCTGATCATGATTTTCTGCATACGTTTTAGACTGCTCATCATCTTTCCCATAAGATTTACCATCGTGTTTTGCATTAACTTTTATGACTTCATGATACTGTCCATCTTCTGCATTGTTACACATTTGATTGCTGTCAACAGGAGCTGAATGCTGATGCTTAGACTGTATGCCATACTTCTTGTCCAATTTAAGCTTCTTTCCAGGGGGGCATAGATTGTCCATATCATGTGAAGCAGCCTCCAGCTCTTGCACATGATTATCAGTGTGGTGACTACTTATGCCACCCCTAGAAGATGTTTTTCCGTTTGCAAGGTAGGCTTGTCTAAGCTGATTGTCAATACCAGATATTGGGGAACACCCATTTTCTTCTGCTAGCATGGTTTTATCAGCATGATCATCTTCATCGCTCCTTAATGGAGGAGATGTAGGATCACCACCGTCAAAGGGAATATCTAACACACATTGATCTCCAACAGCGAGTCCACTAACTTCCTTCAAGGATGCTGCCAGTGGACGTGTATCTTCTACAATCATGTCCTTTAACTGCTCGTCACAAACCAAAAAAACAAAAAAACAACAAAAACTAAAATTAAGACCAAAAATCCTCAGCAAAATAAAACCACTTCCCACAAGGAAAAAAAAAAACAATGAAAAGCACCATGTACCAGTTCCAAAGTAGATTTCGGCAAACTTGCTTTCTTGTGCTTTACGAAAGAATCAGTATTGCAATTCAACTCGTCCGATGCACCCTTAAAACCTGAAGTCTGTATGAAGACAAGAGTTAGCAGCCAACCAAGAGGATGATCGCCCAAAGTTTGTAATCTTTTCTCTAGTAAACTTTCAACTTCTTATTACCTAATCAACAAAGAACTATTCAAATACAAGACAAAGCTAGTCACCTCACGTAAAAGGCGCTGAATTGCAGCTTCACAGCTTTCTGCTGGATCAAATCCACATTTTGACCAGTCAGACGCAACATGATTTTCACATGACACATTAGAAGGGCTGAAGAGTCCCTCTAAACACCTCAAGGCAGTAGCTTCCCTCGCTTTTCTCCCTGACTCACCCAATAATGGTGGTGTCTTCGAAACCAACTCTGAAAAGACCAAAATATGAATCTTACATGCATCTCAACAGACTTTGAAAACTGAATTGGGGGGTGGGGGGAGAGGGGGAGAGGGGGTGTTATGGAGTTAGCATGTCACCATATAAAAGAGAGGCATCCACAAGCTGCGACTTTGCTAGGGCTTCAATAACCCAACTCCACGCAAGTGTAGAAGCAGAATCCTCTTCTTCCATGCAATCAAGGATTATAGTTTCCCGCAAAAAAGATTATTTGCTGGAATTAAAAACAAAGCTCAGTATCACTAATTAGAATTAGTTACAATATATTGCATAGCATAATGCAGTGTTTTCGCCTATAATGCTAAAGCTGCAACCATCACAAACAATTTACAACTGTCAAACAATAAAGATTAAGGAAAGAAGATGTTTGGAGGAATATAAAAGTTGCAAATGTTGATGATAAGGTAAGGGAGAACCGGCTATGTTGGTTTGAGCATGTGAGACAGTGACCAAAAAGCACACCAGTAAGGTAAAGACTAAAGAGTTAGGATATTGGGCGGTTTAAAAAAAAACAGCCAAAGAAAAGCCAAAGATGACTTCAACAAAACAGGTTAAGAATAATACAAAGGAATAGGGTTTACATGAGGATTAGCTTTTGAAGTTATGGAATGGAGGTACCAGACTTAAGTCAATAACCATTGGAGTTAAAGTTTTGGTTCATCTAGCAGACCCCATATATTGGGATTAATAATATGATGTTGTACAACAACATAAGTCCTACTAATACAAAACAAGTAAGTTTTAATTTTCGAAAAAAATATATCTTTTCTATGAAATAAGAAAATAAAGGAAATTCAACATCTCACTTAACCCATTCAAATATCAATTTTATTTATTCAAGTCCAAAGTATCACCTCTTTTCCAACTTAATCCCAAATACAACTAGCATAAATATTTGTCCTACAAAAACAAATTTAGCAATACAACACACTTATGGGATTAAGGCAATCAAGAAGAAGAAGAGAAGAACACACTTAGGATATATTTTATTCACCAAATTTTCACTAATTAGAACTTATTAAAACTTATTTTAGTTGCAATTTGAACTTAATAACCCTTATCAAAAACTAATTTTTCCTGAAGTGAACTTATTACACCTAAAATAAGTAATTAAGGTGAATAGGCCCTTAATCGTAATAGTTATGAAACAAATAAAGTATCATCTCTTCTACTTCTCAAAAAGTACCAATTTGAGCCAGTTCTACAGCAAAAAACATGAACAAGATATAACCAAGATATTTAACCAAAAAAAATATTTAACATCAATTACTAAATTAAATATGTACTATTAAGCATTTAACATAAATTAGAAAAGAATGAAAAAATTTGTAACTGGAAAGTGCTGGGCAGAGAATTGTTAAAGGAGGAAAAAAAACAGAAGAAAAAATTGAAAAAATCACAAAACCTAAAACCAATTTCACATAATGCTATAAACCCTAGTTCATTCATTTCATCTACTTCTAAAATGTAGGACAAATTACATGTGGGTAATTGTCGAAATACACGAATATGAAGAATAAAAACATAAACATACATAAAAATTGAGATCTTTCGCGGAAATTAATCAAAAAATTCCCAGAAAATGAGGTTTCAGAATAGCAATATATAATTGAAATCACATCAACAACATGATGACTTCAACGGAATAATAAGGAAGATAATGTTAGAATTGCAAAATTGTTCAAGCATTCAGGATTGAAACAGTATAAATGCACAAATATTTTTGAACTCGAAATAGTTCAGAATTGAGAGGAGATAAGGCAACAATTATTTACCTAGCGAGTGACTGAGTTCAATTTCTGGAAAATTTTGATATGGCGCAAATCGTTTCTTCTGAATATACTCCGTACTTCAATTTGGGTAAAAGAGGAACAAGGATGAACTATGAACGTCCTTCGGTACTTCAATTTTGAATTGAGAGGTATTGAGGTAATAATGTATAGTTTTTTTTTTTTTTTTTTTCAAACCAGGCCACCCCAATTTTCCACCAATTTAAGAGGTTAGATTTGTAAAATTACAAGCAAAAACGCTATTTGTTTAATGTTTTAATAACTGTTATACTTCGTGCGGCCCATAATTTTAAGTAATTTAATTGACTTAAATATAATAAGAGGTAACCGGAGTCGTTGGAGTATTAAAAAATTACTCCCTCCGTTTTCTTTAAATGCATCAATTTGATTTTTGCACTATTCACATGTCATATTTGACTTAACTTTTTTTGCTATCATAAAATAAATAAATGTTATTATATAATGTATCATTAAATTCGTCACAATGTCTACTTTTGTAATATAATTTTGTTACAACTTTTACTAATAGACAATTACAGATATTAATGGTCAAAGTTACATCTTGGAAAATGTACCAGTCAAACTGATGCATTTAAAAAAAACAAAAAAATAGAGGGAGTATAAAAGAAAGACAATGGGGTTGATTGTTTGTTAAAAAGTAATGAATTTGAAAGGAAAGAAATAATAATTAAAATAAATAAATAAAATAAATAAAATAAAATAAAAAGTAGTAGGGGGTTTGGGTGGGGACCATGAAAGGAGAAAGATATAATATTAAGATGTAGTTTTTTGCCAAAAAAATAAAATATAACACTATTAAAATACAGAGGGAGTACTTGAATTAGTGGTGTTTCAGGGTTTTTTGGAATCTCTTCGGATACAGGTCGTAAATATAGGCGAACAGCCGCAGACACCTGCAAAACAACGAATATTCCTTTTGACGGAATATTCGCCTCTAACGATCAAGTTAGTGATCGGAAAACAAGAATATTTAGAGAGAGAAAGTAGAGAGAAGTTGGAGCAATTTACTATGCAATAAATGATTTGTCTCAATCCACCCCCTACCATCATCAATGATTGGGGTATTTATAGGGTTGGGAATGTGTGTCATCTAGGGTTTGATGACCTAGAATGGTGGGCGCTGATTGGCGGCGCAATCAGAGTAAGACACATGTCCTAAAGGGCGTCGTTTTCATGCACATATTTCGGGAATTGGGTCTCCTGATGTAAGGAGGCTTTCTCTTATTCAGGTGCTCTTATGAATTGCCACGTGTCACCTTCCTATTGAGACACATGTCGCCCTTGCATTTGGCCACGTGTCACTATATGATTGGTCTACGTGAAGGGGTATTTTTTACCCTAAACATTTACCCCTCGGGGGGTTGGCTCGTACCACATGGGCCGCCTCCTCTGATTTTCACTCGTCCGGGTATGTTTGAGCAATTCCTTGCTTGGATGGGGCAGACTGTACCGTCCACCTGAAGTTGGGAAGCATTCCTTTAGGCTAATTACCTTGAGTTGTCCGCCTGATTTCAGTTTGGACTAAAGTTTTGAAATCAGACGGACGAATGATGCCACCTGTCACTAGGTGAGACACCCGCCTTCCGTATTTTTCAGACCAACGATTTATATTCATTGACGTGGTCGTTTATTTTGGCGTGTCGTTTGGGTAACCGTACACCTTCCCCGTCTTTATTGACGGAACGGTTTAATTAACCGTTTGGCTTCTAGGTTAACTTTTTCAAAAAAGAGACGTTTAGTCTCTTGGGAGGGAAAAGCTAATTTACCATTTTGCTCCCATAAATTTGCCTATAAATAAGGCCGATTTGACTTCATGAAAAACACTTTGCATTTTGTGTTTTCTAGAGAGAAGATAGAGCTTTTAGATATAGAAAGTGATTTTCTTCCCTAATCTTAGAGAGCTCCGCCGAGTATTTGAGTTTTCCGTTCGAGTTTTTGAGTTTGCCGGTCAACTTGTCAAGATCTTCAAAGTTCTTCAAGTTTTCTACTCGTACAGAGGTAATTGTCTGCTTCTTTTTAATTCTTCATTTTTCATATACTTGTTTTTATTTTTAAACATGAATTGGCACATTACTCGGATTCGTCCGTCTCTCCTCATGAGGTCGGCTGTTCGCTTGGGACTGAGGAGTCTAGAGTGGACGAAGATGACTCATCTTCACTTTAAAGTGGGTCCATTATTTCTAGTGCGTACCAACTCACCCCCACTTATTCTTCTCTGTCCATGCAATCGAACATGGCGCGTACGAGAGCGACGTACGACCGAAATGCGGTCAGAAACCGAGATGGACGCCAAGTCGACCCTTTAGTTCCTTTTAATCCAAATGATACGGATGTAGATGATACGGACGCTACATTCAGTGGTAGCGCATGTTCTGTGGTGGAAGTCACTGCCATCTCGTCCGAGCAGAACACTCAACAAAATCCCCCTTCACAGTCTTCAACCAGGGAGACTAGGGAAACTAATGTTGAGGTGTCCGGCCTAAATCCAGAACAACGCCCTTCACGATACACCAGCTCGGTCTTGATGTCGCCCGAGTTGCTTTCTTCTTAGAGCCTCCTTCTTCAATTTGGGCGGACGCTAGGTCTGGCTGACGAGGAGCATCCGACCAAAATCCCCAACAACCCTCAACACAAAAAACCAGCTCGGCTAGGCCGACCGAGCTGCGTATCTCTGAGAGGCATTCGACAGACATTCAGGCGGACGCTACTAACTCGTTCGACTTGCCTCCTCTTAGTGCTCCTCCTTTTGGAAATCGGGCGAACGCTGATGGAAGGAGAAAGGATAAGGATAAGAGACCCTTAGTGTCAGAGAGCACTGTAGTTGTTGAGTCGGGCCAGGGCTCAAAGGGAGGCACCTCGGCCAAAGCTGCTGAATTGGATAGAGTGTTGTCCTCTAACTTTGTTTCGGCTAGGAACCCCAAACCACAAGCTGCCAAGCAAGAGGTAGAGAACCCGGACGCTGGACCAGTGGACGAGGAAGCTAATGCGGTCAACTTCAATGACCCATTTGCCTGCACGGTCGGCGATGTAGCCCTCGCCTTCCTTCATGACAAATTTGAGAAGTTCAAGGAATTTCTCATGCTTGGGAGAGGCTACCATATCCTGCCACCGAGGCGCTCTAATTTGATGGCCGCCTCATATGATGAAGGAGCTCAAAGCCTGAGCTTCAATGTGTATTAAGTCGCCTTGGAGGTGGGCCTTCGCTTTCCCCTTCATCCATTCGTCTAGGAGCTGTTGGCCGAGTACAACATTGCGTTGTTTCAGCTGGTGCCGAACAACTGGGCCAACATTTTTGGTTATTTGGTGACATGCCTAAGGAATGGCTTCACCCCTAACTTCCCGGTTTTCTGTGAGATGCACTCAATGGTGCGAATGAATGCCGAGACGGACGGCTGGTTCATCCTTAACACTCGTCCCGACTACTTAGTAGTCCTGCACAAGCCGTCCAAATGACGCGACTGGAAGCAGCGTTTCTATCGCATCAAGACCAACAACAAGGAGTTTAACCTACGGATGATCAGGTTTAATGCCAAGCCTCTTCAGCTCGGACGGGGTGATCGCAGGCCGACTAGGCCGCCTGTTCACCCGGACCATGCGCACCAACTTGACTATTTTAAGGTCAAGAAGATGTTTAGAGATGGGAAGCTGGTAGCCGTGTCGTCCAATTGGATTCCACTAACTGATTGGCTTAGGGATCCAGTATTCATGTTGGCGTGCGGCTCGTGGTGGAACTACCCCCAAGGTGGAACTTCGCGACTTAACCATCCGAATTTTTTTTGGTCTGAAATATATTCTAACACTTTGTTCTTTTTCTTTTCAAAAGAAGCCATGTCAAATCTAGACCCAGAGCAGAAGGGGGAGACGGACATTTCCAACTTTAAGCTCGAGCGTTACCGGCTCCTGAGGCAAAGCTACGAGGCAGCTAAGGGGGTACTTATTCTTCATGCTTTCTTCTTCTTATTTTTTTTGTTTTTTTTTGTTTTTGCGTCTGACCTGCTATGTAAGGAAGGGCATCCTTCTAACTTTTATTCGGACGGAATGATTTTCCCTAAAGTGTCGAGCTGGTATGTTGGGAAGGTTGTCCTTTCCAATTTTTCCAGGACAGGATAGTCTTCCAGACTTGCCGAACTGGTATGTTGGGAAGGTTATCCTTTCTGATTTTGCTCGGACAAAAACTTACTTAATTTTGTCTTCTATTTTCAGGTAGCTACTCCGAAGCCAGCGAAGAAGCGGTCGACATCCACTTTGAAGGACGATTGGTCGTCCTCGCAAGACTACTGCGTCCAAAACCCCCTCAGGGTCGCAGGCGGCCAAGGAAAGGTCGCAGGCTGTAAAAGAGCTGTTTAAAGGAGATCCACTCCAGTTGACACTAAGTGGGGCCTTCAAGCCCTTGGAGCCACAAAATTCTAATGTGGCCCAAGAGAAGACCATCCGAAAGGACGAAGAGGGAGAGTCGTCCCTTCACGAAACGACTGGCGAAAACAACTCCACTCCGCATGTCTAGTTTCTGTTCGAGACTGGGGTGCGACCGCAAGCTCCTCAAGCGGACGAGGGGTTGCATTCTCAACCTCTGGGATTCGAGGAGGAACCTCGGGTTTCCCACTCTCTAGAGAGGCGTCCGCAGGCACCACCATCTTTCTTGGAAGGTAGTACATCTAATCTTTCTCTTGGATTTGATATTTTTCCCTTGTTTTAATTTTTTTAACTTGTCTATATTTTACAGACATTGCCGAGGAGATGGACGTCCAAGCACCTGGCCAGTCACTGACCGAGGCCGAAGGCAAAGCCATCCGGGAGGCCATGGCAAGTGTCGTCCCGGCAAATGTGTAGGACAAGTTCCAAGGAATCCACAAAGGGTTCCTCGGCCCAATATTAAACAACTACGCTGAGGTAACTTGGCTTTTCCCAAGCTTTGATACTTAGTTTATGTAACACCCCAATAATTCTCTCTTAAAAACCTGTAAATACCTTTAATAAATTGCAAGAGAATTACTGACGCGCTACCGCCACGTATTCAAACGTTAAGGCTAGTTCAGAATTTAGCAGCGGAAAAACTAACTCAGTTATCAATAAGTTTCAAAACCAATAAACAAAACCAAATTTAGTCTTACAAATTGGAACCATTAAGGCTCTTATTCAAAACCCAACATAAGTAGTAAATAAATCAAACTAGAGTTTAAATAAATCCAAACTTATGAAATGAAATAAACTGTGGAAATATCCAACACTCCACTCAAAATCCCACCACCTTGATGCAAGTTCTGATTATGTAAAAACCTGTGATTAATCTGCACCCCAATATTACAA